CCTCCCTCCCTCCCTCCCTCCCTCCCTCCCTTCCTTCCTTCCTTTATCGATCCATCCATCCATGCATGACAGTATGAATTGTAATGATCGCTGAGAGATACAATCGCGTCTGCAAATTGCTGAGCTGCATCCATCTGGCTACGAAAGAAAGGTTGCGGAATTCAAATTGCACTTGTGTGTGAGCGCAAGAGCCGTGAGATTTTCTGTGCATGCACTGCGCACAGCAGCACTACGCTCTTGCCGGGTCTGCTTAACCAGGATGCGCTTCAACTGAGTCCAACCGATGAAGTCTTTTTTTTCTTGGCCAGAATAAACCTCAGTAAACTACTTTCTTCCCTTGGGCATACCTCCTGATTATCATGAGATGTATATAGACCGTGCTGCAGTCCGGGTACAGTCACTATGCTCAGGGAGCCGACAACAGTAAGCCCATAAGTACGTTCACATCAGTGCGAAGAGGTACATGCCAGCAGCCAAATGGACTTTCAATTTTCAAAAAGAGCAAGTTCGTTTCACTTTCCAAGCTCCAAAGCGTAAATCACTGTGGAACTCGAACCTGCAATCTGCAATAAAGAGCCATGAGAATTTGACAGTATGTGCATGCGAGCTGCTTGGAATTGGACGTAATCAGACAAGGAAGGGCGTGGAAAAGGGGAGGAGGGGGACAAAAACTTGAGCCGTTTGTCCGGGCACCCAGGCACCCAACTTGTGCCCCGATAGACGTCCGGGTGCCCGGCTGGGGATAAGCCCCGGGGTCAGGGTTCCCGACAGCCCCAGTGCAAAAACAAATTAAAAAATCCAGAAAAAGAAAATGTTGTGTAGAGTGGTAGAATTGCAACACAAACAACTGTTGGCTGAGCGGCACCTCAGAATTGCTTATTGAATCTATAAAATAAAATAGAAAATAAAAAGTTAAAAACATCAAACTACAGCACCTTTAGCCCCTTAAAAAGCAATTTGTAACCCCCTCCCCCTTGACAGCCAACACTAAAAAAATGGAAAGGAGTCTGGATTTGGGCTCCTCTGGCCATGGGCAGAAAACCTCCACACCCCCCCAAAAAAAAAACAAAAAGAAAAGAAAAAGAGGGGCAGGTGACCCCCGCGGGCGACTTGCCCGGGTTGCACGGCCGTGCTGCATGGCCCCACCAGCCAAGGAGCTTATCAAAAGAAAAAGAGAAAAAGCAGCAAAAAACAAAAGAAAAAGAAAAAGAAATGCAACAAAATTGACCAAATCGAATGACAGAAACCAAACCTCATCATCCCATAGAAATCCAGATAGCCATGTGCACCAAATCCAGACAGCCAGGTGACCCCTGGGGCGGCTTTGCCCGGGTTGCATAGCCGTGCTGCACGGCCCCGCCCAAATTGCACAGCCGTGCAGAAAGCGGATTACGACACGAGATGCACCAAATAAGAGCAAAGTCCTGAAAGTCAATTGACAATGAAAGCCCTCTCCTCACCTCCAACATCAACGTCCTCCATGATGCCGCTCTCCTATATGGCGCTTGGCGCCCAGACAACAATCCGACAGCACCTACAACCTATAGAGTCTCTCATAATGACAACAGGTCTTCATGAAGTTCAGCAGCCCGATGACGAATGAAGACTCCAACTATGGCGGCCCGGTCATCATCACCAGGAAAGCGCTCCTCATCCCACGACTTCCGCCACATCGCCGTCCCTCGCCCAGACTGCTTATAACATCCTCAAGAGTCACTACCATCCTACCCCGAATAGAAGGCACGGTCATTGTCACTGTATATCTATCAGACTGAAACTTTCCCCAAATACAGCTATTTAGGATCGTGCGTTCTGTTTGGGAGAAGAACAGTCAATCAGAACTATAAGATCCATTCAATCCACAGGACTGATGCTGGTAATCCCTGAGTCGAACCATATATCAGTGTGTCCTTGCCTTTGCCTTGCCAAGAAGTACACGATGTCAGACCACGACCACCCCCATTTGTGGATGGAAAGGGGTTATTTGGGGTGCAGACCACCACCACAAATAGCCCCATTTGTGGATAGGAGAGGTTGCACGTCAGTGCTGTGAGTGGGAAGCACCGCACAGCCGTCCGCTTGATGCAAACTTGCACTCAGAAAAAAAAAAATAGCAGGCAATCGCCACCCTCCAGCCCCCACCCCCTCGCCAACACCTTGCCAAAACACACACACACACACACACACACACACACACACACACACACACACACACACAGATGCACATGCCCCTGCTCCAGACAAGGAGTAGCTTGTACTAACACACATTAACTTCCATGGAAAAGGGCCATGATATATGAGTTTGTGGTGGGATGGAATGAGGATGTTCACCTGCTCACCTTCCCTTTCATGGGATGAATGATGTCCATACACAGACGTTTGCTTTAGTGTCAGAAGGGCTGAAGATGGTCAAAGAAGAGGATAGAGGATAAATGTGTGTGCGTGTGTGTGCGCATGCGTGCGTGCGTGCATGTGTGATTGTGTG